CCAACGAAAACCTGTTTCATGACAAATGCACAGCTAGCAGGAAGCAGCTTTATTCATTGTTACCACGATGCAACTAGTTGCTAGCCGGTAGCTAGCAGAGGAATTTCGACGAGAAACTCATGGCGACGCAACCCCCTGAGGCGGAATGTACCCACGCGCCATGAGGATTTGTGTCCATTCGGGCTGCTTTGAGTTCAGGCCAGCATGAAGTGGTGGGAGAAGAACACCCAACGAACTATGATTCAGGCCAGGAGTTCAGGGGACGAGGCCAGTCCCGCGCCTCCTGGAAGTAAGTGTGTTTCGGAAAGAGAGCTTCCTAGGAGTTTTTTCAGCCCTTTGTGAAACCTTTGTCCACGTTCTGTGCTTCTCGTCCCAAGTACCTGTAGGTGACCATCAGGGCCTAGAACCTCCAGCCTAGACCCCTGTTGAAGTTTCCCGCACAGCTCTGCCTACCGCATTAGAAATCAGGTCAGCAGCACCTGTTTGTCGAACAAGATCTCACCCATGTCGACATGCCAGCATTGACAGGCAGGCGTGCTTGCCTATGCCAATGATGTAGGTAGGGTGTATTTGGCTTGGTTCTAGTACGCGATTGATACCATCATCCTCACGCCCTGTACATCGTAGCACAGAGCATTATGGCTGCCCAGAACATGCTCAGTGCCTGCCAGGCCTATGTGGCCTTCACTAGCCGCCCAAGCGTAGTGGGTAGCTCCCCTTGTAAGGCATGTACCATCGCAGTGTCCGTTCGAAGCTGGTACATGATGCAAAAGCATGGCACCAAATAGATCCAACGAGTCAAAGCAACCAGTCAAGTACTTCACTTGGACCATAAGAATTGAGTACATCTCCTGTACATGGCAGCGGATCCTTCTCCATCATCTCAACTCGATCCATCCCGCGTATCTCTCCCTTCAAGCTGAGGCTCTGACTTCATCGCCGCTGTGCAAGGCCTCTCCCCACTAAAGCTTGGTCAGTCGCTGTTGAAGGTCTGCACCTCTCCAGCTTCTTGCTTTTTGCTGGCACTTATTAATCCTGGCTACCACGCTTAGCTGGAAAAACGAATACCTGCTGGAGCCAAGGAGCAAACAGCCCGAGCCTGGCGCCTCTTCACTACGACTAGTTCTATCCTCCTGCATCCAGGGTTCTTGACTAACTTGCAGTGCCCTGCTTTCTAATCCGCAAACCATCCCGCAGCCGCCTTATCACTGCGTCCGTCATCATTCAACGCTCCCCCCAACCGCCCAAGACAAACAGGGTGCTTCGGTCTGGGTCTCTGAACACGTCTGGTTCTTGATTCCTTCTTATTCTCCTCCATCAGACTCAATCGCGTGCCGTCTCGCCTGCCCTTCCAGCTCCGCCTGCCGCTGCGCCATTTTAACCCAGCCAGCCCGCTGTGCATAGTAGGTGCCACCAGCTAGAGTCCAGAACTTGGCAGCATCATTCGGCAACCCCGCATCGTCATCATCCAGCCTCGCTCGCCCCTGCCCTGAACTACCCTCGACCTTGCCTTGGGCTTTTTTCCCATTCGATTTTTCGTGTTAGCTGCTCCGCCTCTGCCACGCTTTTGTTTCCTCCTAAGCTCCAAACTCCCCATGCAGCTTGGATAGAGCGGGCTTTTTTTCACCCTATCATCCATTTCTATTTTACTCTCGACCTGCCCCTCAGCGAGCTTGTTTGTGTTGCGACTTCTTCCCGCCCCATCGCCGTCATCTCAGCTCACATTCGCTCGTCCCAACTGTTACGTCAACGCTGGGCCGTGGGCGGCCAAAGTCTCAGACACCATGTCGACGATACAGCAACTTAAGAATTTTATCCGTCATGGTGCGTGCCAGACAAGAGCCAGCCTCCCCAAAATAAAGACAGCTGATCTTAATTCCCTTTGTCGTCTTTGATTGATTGCATGTCTCCCGATCCCCAGGCCCCGGTACTGACTGTGACGATCCAGGCAAACAAGCCCGAGCTGCCAACTTTAACGAGGAGCCTGCCCGCAAACATGACTCCGCACCACAAGCACCAAAGGCGGCCGTGAACCCGACGATGCCCGATAGCGAACCCCAGTTAGGCCATGCACCCCAGGCACAGCCGCTGAATGTCTACTCAGAAGCGCCCGGCGACGCAAAGAACCGAGCTGCGCAAGCTGCCCACGCTGCTGCCCATCATGTGGAGCCAGCACAGCAGGTTCAGAATAAGTCGGCCAGCAAGAGCAAGCGCGTCGATGAGGCGAATCTTGCCAAGCTGATCGCCGAAGAGAACGCGAGCAAGAGCAAATTCCCGCGGTATCCGGGCCTAGAGCGCTGGGAACTGGTCGAGAAGATGGGCGACGGAGCCTTCAGTAATGTCTATCGCGCCAAGGATTTACAAGGAGACACCGGCGAGGTTGCGATCAAGGTTGTTCGCAAGTACGAAATGAATAATATGCAGGTACGGATTTACCCCCACGGGCTTGTTTTCCTCTCCTCTTCATACGCACTCTCTCTCTTTCTTCTTTCCTCGCTCTCGCTGGCTTCTTTCATTGCGTTACTTTTCCTTCTTTTATCTGGGCCTTACCAACCATGGGGTTTCATTCCCTCTGACTTAGGGAAATCAACATTTACATCCGGAGTTTCAAAAGGTTCCTAAAGCAGCTGAGGTGCGAAAAGTCTCTTCAGTCCACTATGCCGTTATATCCGGCCATCCTTTTTTTTTGTTCGCTCGTTTCTTCTTGTATATCAACATGGATGGCCGTTGCAGAATCGTGTCGATTTCGGTACTGACCTTTTCCTAGCGCTCAAACATTTTGAAAGAAGTACAAATCATGCGTCAACTTGACCACCCCAACATCATCAAGTTGGTCGAGTTCTCGGAGTCGCGACAGTACTACTATATCGTTCTTAATCTAGCTCCAGGCGGCGAGCTCTTCCATCAAATTGTTCGCTTGACGTATTTCAGCGAGGATCTGTCCAGGCATGTCATTGTCCAAGTTGCTAAGGCGCTTGAATACTTGCATGAGGAGAAGGGCGTTGTTCATCGGTACGTACTCGACAACCCTCGTCCTTGCTGATGTGGCCCATTATGCGGTGTGGTTTCACTTTTGGCATGGCCGTCTCCCTTTTTTTTTTTTTTTTTTTTTTTTTTTTTTGAATACCAGCCACTAATATTGCCCACACAGTGATATTAAACCTGAGAATATCCTGTTCGACCCAATCCCTTTTGTTCCCTCCAAGGTTCCCAAGCCAAAGCAGCCCGGCGATGAGGATAAGGTGGATGAAGGTGAATTCATTCCCGGCCAAGGTGCCGGTGGTATTGGCCAAATCAAAATTGCCGATTTTGGTCTCTCCAAGATTGTCTGGGATAACCAAACTATGACACCCTGCGGCACCGTAGGATACACCGCACCAGAAATTGTGAAGGATGAGCGTTACTCCAAGTCGGTCGACATGTGGGCTCTTGGATGTGTGCTGTACACACTGCTCTGCGGCTTCCCACCTTTCTATGACGAGAGTATTGAGGTACTCACTGAGAAGGTTGCCAAAGGGCAATATACGTTCCTGTCTCCCTGGTGGGATGAGATATCTAAATCGGCCCAGGATCTGATCTCACACCTTTTAACCGTCGATCCGGAGAAGCGCTACACAATTCGTGAATTTCTTGCCCACCCATGGGTTCAGATCTCTGGCCCAACCCCCATGGAAGAGAAGAAGAAGCCGGATTTCGTTCTTCGTGCATTTGACGCGTCCAAATTTGAAGAACCTGGAAAACGATATGATTTCCGATCCCCCGGTGCCGTCAACCTTCGTGAGGTCTTTGACGTGGGTTACGCCGTGCATCGACAGGAGGAGGAAGGCAAGCGCAGACAACAAATTGGTGTCAAGGGAGGCCAAGGAAAGTACCTTGGGGGTCTCAACGAGGAGGACGAGGATGAGCACCATATGGAAATCGATGCGCAGGATGGGGACCAGAAGCCACAACACGGGACACAGTCTCTCGAGCAAAGCATGCGGAAAACTAACATCCGTGACCAAGAGCAAGCACGAGGACGGGATCGTGAACGAGTCAATGAGCGAGGCTATGGCCAGCACTCGGCTGCAATCACCGCAGCCGCCAGGCAACAGGTACGAGATCGCAATCGGCAGAAGGGCCCATTCGAGCTCAACCTGGGCAACGCCACCCTGCTGGGCAAGAGAGGCAAGAAGCTTCCTGCAATGGAGGTTTAGAGTTCGTGGCCATGGCGGCGGGAATACCACGGCACTCGTCCGAGATTGCCGTTTCTTCAGAGATCTGATCTTTGCGTCATTTCATCTGTAGCAGTGAGCTCTTCATTCATGAGAGCTTTGACCCTTTCTAGGAAAGAAGATTTAGTGGAGCCGATTCTTGCCACACAGTGTCTACTACTGCGAGAGGTGGCAGAGTCGCCATTTACGATCCGCAGATGTTTTGCATGCTGTGGAGTAATTATTTGATATCACTGTAAGGCGTATGGAGTACTTAGCCACTTGTGTGGAATACGTTCAGGAAGATCAATTTTGTCCTGGAGCACATATTTCCAGTTTTCTATGTCATTAGAAGGCTTATTTCTAGGCAACACTCAATGGTGCCCGGACATCCTCTCATGAGAAGCAATGTTATTTAACTTAGTTAACACAAAGTGCGCCTGAGGAATACATGAAATGTTCACTCTGAAACAATAAGTCAGCGATAGCATCGGGAATTCATCTAATTTTGCTCCAAGGTTGTGAGGAATTATCATTATCTATCTAGTTTGTCTATATTGGGTATCTTAAGAACGTTGATTATCGAATACATTGATATCCATCCATCAGAACTAGTGTCTTGAAGCCAAGAGAAAGGTTCTGAGGTGAAATGCAAATGGACCAATGAGCGAACCACAAACGCGCTTGGCTAACATAGGTAAAACAAAGAGAGAGAAAAACAAGGACAAAAGAAATATGATAGTCAACGAATGAACGAAAGAGCGAAACTCCTTCAATGTTCGAGCAAACAACTCTGGTTTGGAAACCTTAGCCATTTACCTCGATTCCTGCCTGTTCGAGCAGCGGCTTTGCTCTAGGAAATGATTCTGTGAACGGGACCAGGAACAAGCCGCTAGAAAGGTTGGTTTTCCATGTCCCGTCGAACTTGATTTTGTCGCTGGGTGGGGAATTGATTATCTGGTACAACACCCACACCAAGCTATCCGCCATGGCTTTCTGCGTGCTTATCGAGGCGCCCTCGGTGAGAGACTTGTGATACCCAAGGACTATCCTGGTTACAATCGCCGGGAGGGACAGAACATGCGCGGACGTGGTGGTCCGGGGGCAGGGGACGGTGGGCAGCCTGTTGAACTCGTCCTGGTCCTCAAAGACGATCCTGACGCGGCGGAGGCTGCCGTCCGGTATGGCTACGGCGAGGACGAGGTCGTTGTTCTCTATGTTGCCCCCGCCGTGGAACTCCGTGGAGTAGATGCTGTACCCATTGTCGTCCGCGCCCCAGTGGTCGCGGCCGTCCTGGGTGGGCGACAGGCGGGTCAGCTGCTTGATGGTGGCCCAGTGGAGGATGGTCTGGCGGGTGTGTTCGGGGCACAGGATGTGGACGGTGTGGGGGAGGCGGGCGGTGTATCCGTGCTGGGCGAGGGCGGAGAGGCCGTACACCGCGTAGGGGATGTGGGAGAAGATCTGGTGGAAGGACTGGGTGACGTGGGAGATGGTCTCGGCGTCCATGGGCTGGTTTCGTGGGAATTCTTCTATCGACTTTACAGAGGACCGGCGGCTGTGGGGAGAGTTTGGTGGGCTTGTTTCTTTCGTATGTAGGGCGGTTTCGGGTTGTGTTGTGGCTGGTTGACAGCGAGCTTTCTCTTCCCGGAACATGGCCTTTATCTTTGATACACCCCTAGAAAGAAAGGTTGAGGTTTGTGGGTGATTTCTATTAGTGGTCTTCGAAGGTGGTTGAGCTGTCTGGATATCAGTGACTCTCGGACTTTTATTCCGGGAGGACTGCCTACATGTAGACTGTAAGTAATCTGGAGAAGTAGAACACCGCCTCCTCACCCGCATAGGCGTAGATTCCTTCATCTTCATTGATTGTGAAGGTGAAGGTGACGGTGGCGGTGATGAATATGCCCCGGGAATGGGTTTCGAAGACATCTTGGATAGTATAGGCGGCGACTCTACCAGCCTTGACTTCTCCGTTTGTGCGATTTCTTGACGGCAAACAGAGTGGCCCGTGGCTTGGTGCCCTGGATGTGTAAACTTCGTCCGCTCGGAGCCAGTCTCGCGACTATACACTTGGCGGCTCTGTCGCTGGTCATTGCCGGTTCGTTTCGTTTTTCGTCGAGCCCTTGACGATCCTCTCTTAGATCGAGCTGGCAATCCGTCAGAAACGTATTCAAGAAAATACAGAAGCATGGTCAAGAATCCAGTGATTTTGCTTTTTTGGTAATTTTAGGCCAACCAGATTGAATTTCAAATGAGATGGGTAAGGAAAGAGAAGTGCGTGAGGGTGTCTGGTATTTTAAACCTTTTAATCACATAGGTGTGAGATAGTATACAGCCAGAACAAGATCTGTGAACGAGTTACAAACAAGCTCTGTGACTAAATCATAGAGCTAAAGTAGTAGTTGGTGTAAGACGTACTAGGCTTTGGAGCTCTTTCGCAGGGTTTCAACAGAACCCGAATTTGTCTTCTGGGATTTGTTCGAGGGCTGGTTAGATTATTGCTTTGTTTGGCATAAAGAGTGAGGTGCGTTGTGCGGTCATTGGGGGCGAAGTGTCCCCGCATTATGATTCAGAGTCCCAGAACATTCACAGTTGAGCGCCACTAAGAACAAGCCCGAGAGAAGTCAACTGATTCTATCACGCAAGAATTCCTTCACATTCCCGGGTCTCTATTTTGCCCAGTCCAGTTGAATCCCAGCCCCAACGCCCTGTAGTCCTACAGAATTATTCCGAAATTAGGCGCTTCCGTGCATGACAATCCGTTCATAACTCCTCCTCTGTCTCCATCTGGTCAGCTTCCGAAGCCCCATTTGCTGCTGCGCCATCCTTTTTTGGCAGAGTAGCCTCCTTGTCGATCATTTGCCTTGAAACGGCAACGATGTTGTCCTCAATAAGTTCGCGTCCAACATCCTCCAGGTGCTTCTTTGGGTCTAGCTTTCCGACATAGCGTGTCTTGAGCTGGTCCTTGGTGAGCTCTGTCTCTTCCTTAACACGCTTCTCATAGCCGTCCGCCAAGCTCACGAGTTGGTTCAGGCGGTCCTTGTTCTTGGTGCCCTCAGTCCGGAAGTCGTCCATGTCAAGAGCCTCAGTCCATACATGCTTGTGAAGGTTCATCAGCATGTTCTCCTCCAAAGCAGTCTTGCGGTAGTTGATAGCTATCGAGTAGTAGTGTCGGTTGAGGCCGTGAATGAGAGCCTGGATTGATGGCTTATTCAAGTGGCCCAAGTTACTCGTGCTCTGGCGGGGCTCCTGGCCCATCATCAAAAGTTGTGGGTTGATGAGGCGGAAGGCATCAATGACTACCTTTCCCTTGACTGACTGGATGGGGTCCACGACGACAGCCACGGCACGAGGGTTCAGCTGTTCGAATGACTGTTGGGTGTTGATATCGACCGACGAGAGCCAGCATCCGAAACCGGGGTGGGAGTGGTACCATCCAACGACAGACTCGGGCCTAGAAACGTGCCTTAGTTTTGGTGGTTTGTGAACAGTACGACGGACTGAAAGCTTACCGGCCAGTTTGTCGCAGCATATCCATCATCTTGGTCTGGAAAACGGGGTCCACAGCTTCTACGCTGACTCCCGTACCACTCTGGGGCATGGCAAAAACGTCCATGACCTTGACAGTGAAATCATCCACAAACTCGCCCAGCATCAAGCCCATCACTTCCATGGGCACACCAGCCCGACCATGGCGTAACATCTTAAGAAGCGCAAGGGAAGAAATGTAAACGGTTTCGGAATTGTCAATTAAGGTTGAGTTGTCCTAAATGCCATGGGGTTAGAAGCTGCTTGTGATGCGAGCCAAGCTGGTGTATCGCCTTGTACATACCTGACCTGGGGTTGGCCCGCCTAGGCCACCCATGCCAGCACCACCCAAGATGTGTCTAAACCGATCCATAGCTTCGGTCTTCTAGGTATGAGTAGGTTCAGAAATAGGTCAGACGATAATCGGGTGTTGGAGAATGGGATAGTTTTTGGATGGGGAGGAGCTGAAACCGACAGTGCAGCATGTATGTAATCGAGAGCTTGTCGGTGTTGACGCCAGTGCGGCAGCCTTGAGATCGGAGCTTCTGGTGGCTTCGTAATGTCACGTGCCTACCAACCTGCAAGCTCCCTGTGGCTGACCCGCGGGATCTGATGTGGCTGGGGAGGGCCCTGTCGCGGCCACTTTATTCCGGCTAATAGGTACCTGCGTACCTCCGAATCTGGCCCGGGGCCTCCACTCTTCCAAGCCTCTCTCTATTAATGAAACTATTGTATCTATTGTCCTAGCTTACCTTGCGATTGTCGCACTTCTTCCTGCACGTCTCGCGACTACAACATGTCGTTTTAGTCGTGAGCCTCAATCCCACATCTTTCCTCGGGTTTTATCCTTCATTCGCATTACCAAGGCACTCTATTTCTTCTTTTATATCTTGTTAGCCAATAAACCATCCGCATTCGATCGAATTACACAGCCGCCGCTATGGGTGACAGCACGATGGCCCAGCTCGGTTCGACCGCGCTCAACAACTCGTCGCCTAAGAAGGTTGCATACTTCTACGATTCAGATATCGGAAACTATGCCTACGTCACCGGCCACCCCATGAAGCCTCACAGAATTCGCCTGGCGCACAGTCTCATCATGCAGTACAATCTATACCAGAAAATGGAAATTTATGTAAGCCCTACGTCCACCAGTGCAACCGCGGCGCAAAACCTCCTTGACGGGATTTCATACTAACCTCAAACTCTAAGCGAGCCAAACCGGCGACAAGAGGCGAAATGACCCAGTTCCACACCGACGACTACATTGACTTCCTTCAAAAAGTTACCCCTGATAACATGGACAGCTACATGCGCGAGCAGGGCAAGTACAACGTCGGTGACGATTGTCCTGTCTTTGATGGCCTGTTTGAATTTTGTGGCATTAGTGCCGGTGGCAGCATGGAAGGTGCCGCGCGCCTGAACCGACAGAAATGCGATATCGCAATTAACTGGGCTGGTGGTCTTCACCACGCCAAAAAGTCTGAAGCTAGTGGGTTCTGCTATGTGAACGGTAAGATGGTGCTCCGGTCGTATGCTTCTGGGTCACACGACTGACCTCGTCTCAGATATTGTTCTCGGCATCCTGGAGCTCCTCCGGTTCAAAAAACGTGTGCTGTATATCGACATCGATGTTCACCACGGTGATGGTGTGGAAGAGGCATTCTATACCACTGATCGAGTCATGACCGTTTCCTTCCACAAGTATGGCGAATATTTCCCAGGAACTGGAGAGCTTCGCGACATTGGTATTGGCCAGGGCAAGAACTATGCAGTCAACTTCCCCCTCCGCGACGGTATCACGGACGATTCATACAAGTCGATCTTCGAGCCAGTGATCGAAAACGTCATGAAATACTTCCAGCCCGAGGCTGTGGTCCTCCAATGCGGTGGCGATAGTCTGTCTGGCGACAGGCTGGGCTGCTTCAATCTGAGCATGGATGGCCATGCCAACTGTGTCAACTATGTCAAAAGCTTTGGTCTGCCTACCCTGGTCCTAGGTGGAGGAGGTTACACAATGCGCAATGTCGCGCGTACCTGGGCATTTGAGACCGGTGTTTTGGTTGGCCAAAACATGGATCGAACCCTTCCTTACAATGAATATTACGAGGTGAGACTTTTAGCTGTTCATGCAAGCAGTTTTCCTTTACTAAATGACTTAACTAGTACTACGCACCAGATTTCGAGCTCAACGTAAGGTCTTCAAATATGGAAAATTCCAATAGCCGGGAGTATCTTGAAAAGATCAAGGCCGCCGTCGTCGATAACCTACGTCAAACTGGACCCGCCCCATCTGTCCAAATGCAAGATGTTCCACGGAAGCCATTTGGCGGAATGACTGATGAGGAGGAAGCTGAGCTCGACGACCTCGATGAAGACGAAAATAAAGACGTCCGAATGTCAGAGCATCAATGGGACAAGCATATTGAAAACAAGGCCGAATTTGAGCCCAGCGACGATGACGAGCACGCTCGTGCCAATGGGGCCACTCGTGACAGCGGAAACAAGAGAACATTTACCGATTATGGTACAGAGGAGAACTCAGAGTTAGAAGGCAAGCGAAGCAAAAATGGCGATGCCGAGGCGAATGGGGCTGAGATCGCTGCCGACGAAGGAAACGATCCAGACGACACCATCGACGACATTGCTGTACACGATCAATCCGAAAAGGACGCTGTTTCCGAGAAGGAGCAAGCGAAGGAGACATCGAAGGAGACATCGAAGGAGACATCGAAGGAGACATCGAAGGAGACATCGAAGGAGACGATCGATAGTGATGGGGATGTTGGAATGGCCGACTCGACCACTGCCGAAGATTCGACCACGATCAAGAAGGAAGATGCCGAGCCTGAGGTACTGGAAAAGGCGGCAACAAGCAATGAACCAGATGTGACCAAGAAGACATCAGATAAAGCAGAGGCTGACAAGCCATCTGAGGCAGAGGATAAGGCCAAGGAAGCCGAGACCGCGAAAGAACCAAAGGAGACTGCAGACAAGCCCACAGATAAGGGTGAGTCTGAGGCTATGGAAGTTGATCAACCCAAGGATGATGCGGATAAGGACAAGGAAGAGAAGACGGGTGATTCCGGAAAGGAGATCGCGACATCAGGTAAGGGTGCCGAGGAGGGAAACAAAGAAGAGGAAAAGAAAGACGACGGGAAGTCCTGATCCGCCTACACCATGATTCTCTCCTTGTCATCTCTTCTTGCTATTTGGTCACAAGATTCCTCATCTTGGCCCCCAGTTGCCTTCTGCTTGCAACAAAAGCGGAGGATTTGTATCTGTAATTCGATGCACTAAGGCTATGGCGTTAAGGCGCACACATTGAAGTTGCGCATGGATTGGTTAGGGGTCTGAATTTTCATCCCAGGTCTTCTCTTAACGAATCTATCATGTTTTCATATGAAGGTTATATACAGAGATATGAAAACCCATGTACCAAGCCTCGCTTGGCACTGACCTAAGCGTCCCCTTGAACCTACAAACCTCCTTGATCTGCAAATGGATGCATGTCAGTTCGTTTCCTGTTTGTGGGCTTTCTTGCGCTGCCTAGGAATCAAAGTAGTGCTAGAGCTACCACCTGCCTGAACTGCAGTGCAGGAAATATTGTGTATGATCACGCCCCCCCCTTTATGTACGTTTAATGCGATTCGCTAGCTACCTCATGTGTTTCGGAACGACAGCCAACCACAACCTGCGTAAGCACTGTTCCGCACAGCGGCTATATTTCCACCATGGTGGCTGGATCATCTCTTTCCTTGAGGGAAAATGAACCCGAAAAGAAAAGCGAAGATCATCCAACCCTTTTCAAGGCCCTCTCCATCGCCCACCCAACTAGAAGTGTCCCTTTAAGTTCTTACTTACCTCACTGCAGCCAACACAGTGGCCATGGCTTTGACGACTTTACCCCTCGAGGTCCTCCATACGATCTGCGAATGCCTCGACAGCCACCGTGAAGTGGCCAGGTTCCGCCTTGTCTGCCGGGCATTCGGCGACATTGGCCTCAAATTCCTGATCCCCTTGGTGACTGTCGCGCCCACAGCCGAGAGCATCGCCCGGCTACGCGCCATTTCGTTGCATCCTGTTCTCAGACACTACGTATACGGCGTCTCGTTTCTGATAAACGTGTTTTGGCCAGACGGCAAGTACGGCGACTGGTGGCCCCGGGTGCCCACAGTGTGCGACTTGCAAGGTACCGAGGGCCTATATTATTATAAAAAAATGCTCTCTGGACAGAAGAACGCTTTCAGGGCACTGGGGCCGGGACAAGACGTGGAGAATGCTTGCCGCCGCTTCCCCAACCTGGATCTTCTGGATATAACAGAAGCGGAAAATGGAGGTTACCTTCATAAAAATCAGACATACAAATCACTCCGCGAATGGCTCCCTAAATATAATCCACGTGAAGGCCAGCCCTTTTACCCTTTTAATGCAGCGTGTTCTTACACCGGTCTCCCTGGCGTCAAACCATTGAAGACATTCTTGCGTGTCATGACCAGCTCTAAAGTCCGAAAGCTAGAAATCCAGGTGGTGGACGTTGGGTTCTTCGATGGTTATGAAACCAGGGATGTATCTCGCATGAGGGAGGGCCTTTGTCACCTCCGCGACCTCGTTTTGTGCCTCTGCGTCAACGAAACCGTTTGGTGGGAGTCGGTGCCGGTGGCCAAACGGATTCTGTCTAATAACCGGTTGAGAGATTTTCTGTGCTCCGCACCGCATCTTGAGAAGATTGAAATCTCATCAAATTAGTATGCTTACGATCGTGGGTACTTCCATGTCAAGGCGGCCAATGTTCTCCCCAGAGGACGCACATGGCCTCACCTGCGAAGCCTCCAAATAGACAGCCTCCAAATAGTGGCATCTCACTTCTTAGAGTTTGTCAGCGCCCACAAAAGCACCCTCAAGATTCTTACTTTGACGAATTGTATGCTCGCCAATGACCCGGATCAGGGTTCGGAAGCGCCACGCAGCCGCTGGTCGGATGTCTTCGTCCCGCTCGTCATCTCCGACCTTCTGGATTCGCTCGCTCTTTGGGGCATCTTTAGTATATCCAAATTAGGTGACCAAGACGCCGACTCAGACGCCGACTCAGATGAGGAAGCTGCTTACGAAGATGCTTACATTGACATGCAAGGCGTGCTCCAGGACATTAAGCTCACCGTCGCCCAAGCGGTGGCGATAGTGATATGCTCAAGGGAGTTTGATTCTTTCCTGCGGGGCGAGCTTGCAGGCCGCGGGGATCTGGAAGCAGAAGCCGTCAAGAAAGCCCTGGTCGAAGATTTGACAGGCGAGCCCCAAGTGGAATCAAGTTGGGAGAAGAGTAAGAAACATGTCAAGAGATATTCGAACTATTTGAAGTCCTTTGCTATGCACAGGGATATTCCCAATTGGGGGGCTTGGTGGCGGCGGGCAGACGGCCTTCCGTTCTACTAGATTTATCTGTGACGGGAGATCTTGTCTCAGCAACCCTGGTTTGGACTCTGAGTAGTAATGGCGATGGCCAACATGTGCGCGAGCTTGAAGAGAAGAAAAGGTCTGGGTCAGCCTGCACGACTATGCGGAAACATTTTATTTGGCGTCGCACATGGCCATCTTACATAGTCGAGCATAAAGAAAAAATGATCATTTCGGAAGACTAACAGAAAGTTCGCGCCTAGATCTTACTGCAATCATAGACTGATGCCACGGCCGTGACTCATCCACCAAAGTCGCACATGTATGACAGAGACTTGGGCGATGTATTAGGGGTTAGGCTACCTTCGTTTTCTAACTAATTACTCCTTGAAAATACGCCTAGAGAAATCACAGCAAGACCGGTTCGTATTCCATACCATTAAGCCTAGACTGAGTTGAAGCTCTCAACGATGGATACGAATGCCGGGTTTTTTGATAGGTTTTAAACGAGGAGCGGAGTGAGAGTTGTTTCCCAACCCGAGCTCGAAGGGATTTTCCCATGAGTCACACTATCAACACAATATCCAACTCGTCATACAGCGGACACATTCAGGCTGCGCAACAAGAATAAGCTGAGAGCTGCGGTCAGTATTAGTAGTTCCCTAAACACCGAACGGGATTGGGCCAAGAACCAGGCCTACAGTGGACCTGCCCCAAGGGTCGTCCCCCACCCGCCCATTGATAAAGACCGGCCCCATATATTTTTTTATCTCGTGCAAGGCTGTAGAAGCCATGGCTCAAACCCAAATCGAGAGGGGCACCGAGAATATATATCAGCCGTGATATCCCCAACCACCCGAGGCCCCGGCGGCTTCTTCACAATTCTGGCTCTCCGCCTGATAGACCTCCTGATTAGACAGCCACAAGTCTCGCACTTCTCCCTCCCCGCCGCCAATGGCGCCTTCGGCGGTCCCAAGGGCCGTGGCCACCACCTCGCAGAATGACTCAGAGGCTGCCAAACTCGCCGTCTGGAAACAGGCCCTGTATGAGCGAGTCCAGGAGTCTGGTCGCGAGAACGACGCCTTCTCGCAGGACGACCTGATCGACCTCAACGTCATCCCCAATGGCGACAAGATGCTCCTCATCCGGGTCGTCCAGGCCCTGAGCGACGACAAGCTCTTCGTGACTATGCGCGATGCCTCCAACAACATTCTGTGGAAGTGGCGTGATGCTCAAGAGGCTCACAAGTATGTCGTTACCGTCTCCCGAACCCTCCCAGCTTCATAAGCAGCGGTACACCTTAGGATCCCAATAAGCTAATGTCCAGCTTTCGCATAGATACAAGCAGTTGGACGACGAGCAGGCAATGGTCTACTCCCTGATCGACGACTCTGGAGGCGACGGTATATGGTCGCAGACCCTACAGCGACGACTCAACATGCACGACTCGGTCCTCAAGACGGCCCTCAAGCACCTGCAGACCAAGGGCCTGATCGCGCCGTTCAAGAACGTCGAGCACCCCAACAAGAAGATGTACATCAAGGCTTCCATCCAGCCAAGCGACCGGGCGACGGGAGGGCCCTGGTACACGGACCAGAACCTAGACGAGGCCTTCATTGAGGACCTGCAGCGGGTCGTGTTCGACTATGTGAAGAACCAGAGCAGCTACGTCAGCAAGCACAGTGGGGGCGCCCGAACCCAGACGCCGTCCAAGGGCGTAGTGAAGGGAAATCCAGACCGGGGGAAGAAGCGCGACGCGAGGGAGATGAACGAGCCGCCGGCAAAGGCAGTCAAGACGTCTGCGGCGTCGACACCTCGAGAGGCGGTCCTGCTCCCTCTCCCAGCTGGATATACCGGGTACCCCACCGTCCGCGACATAGCCCGTCTGCTCTCCGCCAGCGGTATCACAAATAACACCATTTTGTCCGAATCGGATGTGAAGAAGCTGGTCGACGTCCTTGTCTGGGACAATCTTCTTGAGCCAATAAGGGTAGCCGGGAAGATTGGATACCGCGTCGCCAGGGTCTCGAAACAGAGCACCGACGTATGGGCAGGACGTGAGGACCCTACTGGTAAAGAGGGCCAGCCTGAGTCGTACCTCAGTCCGTACACCGAAGCCCCATGCGGCCGGTGTCCTGTATTTGATCTTTGCGAGGAAGGAGGGCCGGTGGGTCCCAGCAATTGTGAATACTTCAAAAAATGGTTAGGGATGGAATAAGAACATAGACACAAAAGCATGATCAAGACCTTCTGTTGCTCTCTTCATCTGGGTGGTTTGAGAGTTATATTTATATGTCTGTATGATACTTCTGGCGTTTGGGCGGCAATGGGTATATTTGGGACAAGAGCGGTTAGGGTGGTTTCTGCAATGAATTTTCAAGTTACGTGGCATAAGAATGTCAAGAGTGGCATATATGGTCATGATAGAGTCTTCACAATTCGGTGCTTTATTGGTCAGATTCAAATACACTATGACTCGATGACCACAAGCGATAACGTTCCTGAACTATCTCGCCTCCATTTTCTTTCCGTCTCTGGAATAAGAAATTGACGTGTATGTATAGGATACATGTGCTCTGTCCGGAATTGCGCACCGGCTTAGAGGGCACCAGACTTAACAATGGTGGGGCGCTTGCTGTACTTGATGCTGCCGCTGCCAGAGCCAGTAGCCTCAAGGGCCTTGACGATGTTGAGGCCCTCCTCGTCAGCGACCTCGCCGAAAACGACGTGGCGACCGTTCAACCAGGAGGTGACAACGGTGGTGATGAAGAACTGAGAGCCGTTGCTATTTTAAAAGGTAAGCAAGCATGCATGAATCACTGGGATTGGGGTCACGAACGTGTTGGGACCAGCGTTGGCCATGGACAGCAGACCAGGCTTGTCGTGGGTGAGCTTGAAGTTCTCATCAGCGAACTTCTCGCCGTAGATGGACTTGCCACCAGTGCCCTATTTAAACAGTGAGCCCGAGTTATGAGGTAGAGGGAGCGGGGCTGTTTCATACGTTGCCACGGGTGAAGTCACCACCCTGGAGCATGAAGTCGGGGATGATGCGGTGGAAAGAAGAGCCTTCGTAGCCAAAGCCCTTCTCACCAGTGCAGAGAGCACGGAAGTTCGCGGTGGTCTTGGGGACCACATCGTCGAAGAGGTTGAAGGTGATGCGACCGGACTGGGCTGTTGGAAATGATTCGTCAGCTTTGCCGAACTCAATCACGTCCAAGAGGTAAGCGGGGCAGAAACGGCAAAAAAAATTGATGGTTGTCATCACAACCCGTTGACAAATTCATCAAAGCTCCGTTGGAAAACAATCCTATGCCTTCAATTGGGCTTACTGAAGCTCTGAAGGAGAAAAGAGAATCGAATGAGCTATAGCTCGAGGTGTTTACCTACCCTTCACGGTGCTGGTGGGCTTGCCACCCTGGAAGACTGGGCCCTCCCACTCGACATCGAAAAAGCTTGGAAGAGTGTCAGTTTGATGATTGTAGAGAGAGAAGGGGATGAACTTACACCTTAGACATGGCTGCGGATGTAGCTGAAAAGAATCGAGCAGTGCGGAAAGAAGAGTTGGAGGATGCAAGTTTGGGGAGGATGGAAGATCTGGCGGAAGCACAGAGGTTATGGCGGGGTAGGAGGGGTTGCAAGAGTGTTGGACGCATTGTGAGGAAGCTGAAGGGGGGCAAAATTGTTAGCGGCGGAGCTCTTTCGGTGTCCAATGAAAAGCACGAAATTGTGGAAACAGTGGGTATTATGGGTCGTATTGTGCGGATCACGTGCATAAGCTGCACCAGCTCCCTCAATCAGAGCTGGAGCTCAAGATGAGGTCACCGTCGCCTAGGGGTTGCGTCTCTGCCTCCACAACGCAAATACCTACAGGGCCTCGGGCAGCCGGATTCAGGTATGAGGGACTTGATCCCACTGTAACAGCGGTGCAAGGCAAGGCAAGGCAAGTGGGAGGGGAGTGTACTGCCATTGTCATGCCAAAAGTCCAAGGGGGATCCAGTACCAGTATAGCTCGAGGTGCCTCGAGCTCCCTCCACCTATCAACCCTCGCATGCTCCCACTTGAGAGACGTCAGTGCGAGCCGGCTTCACCCGCACCAATGCTCCTCATACGCGAGGGCACGGATGTGGGCATGGGCCAATTGATTTGCTGTGCTGTGTTGGAAGCCAGCACAGCTTCAAGAGGGATGGCTTTTGAGCTTCTTTCTGAACACCCTCGAGCCAGACAAAGGGACTGCACTGGCAGCAACAATATCAGAATAAAAGAAGAACGTATAGCTACGTACCTTGAAAGCTGCAAGATTGGGATAGAAAAGATGGGAAAGTAAAAGTACAATAGAATTGGATTACAGAACGAGACTCGTGGACCTAAAACTCGAAGCAATAGCAATGGCGGTCGGTATTCGAAACTTCAGGAAAACTTTGGCCAGAATTCCAACAAATATCACCGCCTTATGGCCTGAAGTCTCAGGTGCTTAGCGCTACTCATTAGCCTAGTAATAGTGTCCGCGCTGCCCATTACGCATCACACATGAACCCCAGACAGGGGTGCCGAATAAGGAGCTCCGTAGACATAGTGCTCGAGAATACCTTTGTCTCGAAGATCATTAGGATCGAGCGAGGGCAAGTTGGGAACCGGGAGTCGGACCAACTCAGAACCTTCTTCCTCCCTAGTATTTCCTTGGTTTACAATCTTGAGGCTAAACAAGCAAAATTTTCAATCTCAAGGGTACCTCCGATCAAACGACGACGCCACCGTTATCGTGAATTATGTCACGTGCTGATAAGCCCCCTGAGAGCCCAATCCATTTCCAAGTCCCAACCTCTAATTGAGGTTAGCTGGCCTGGAGATATTGCGAAAGCCTCTGGACGGTGCACCGAATCGTCTGCTCGTCGTCAGCCGCTGAACGTTTATTATTCTAATCCATCTCTCTCTTGGTTTATCCTTTGTTGGTTTATTTATTTATTGTCTTTCCAGAGATTTCAATATGGATTTCAATGATCTGAAGAATCAGGTCTCCAACCTGAGCATCTATGACCTCA